CACCTTGTACTGCGGCATTAAAAAAGGTCTGAAGGACAAGGTCGTCCCGGTGCACCAATACCACGTTTCAGTATTTAAACATTTATTTATTTAACCATTGTGCAAGCCTTTGTTCCACTCGAAATAAGTGACTGATTTTTATTGAAAAAAATAATTGCAATCTGTATATAATATCCCCAACCTGTGTTGTAAGGTAAAAAAAATAATACAAAACAAACACTTCAATATTATAAGTCAAATTAAAAAAACGCATGCTATAAAAAATATGAAAAAATAAAAAAAATGTCACAAAATACTACAAACTCTATATTAACGTGACTATTGGCATCTTTTTTAGATTTTATTCTTTTATGCCAAGAGGGCATTCTGAATTGACAAAATTTCTGAAAATCGGTCCAGCCTATTTGAGATATAAGCATTCTATCTAACATCCCCTTCCTTTGTATATATTTCGCTATATATATCCGATATATTTACAAACGGGATCTACGTAAGGGTCAGGATTGACCTTTTCGTCTATTTGTAATTTCGCCGCGATTAAAAATATTCGCGGTTTGATGGAAGATTTGACTTTTATTTAACACAAATGTTATGATATATTTTACCCACTAAATATTACCCGATGACCACCAAAATTGGAAGACTTCTGCCCAGCTCTAGTCCCATGCTAAATTCGGCGTCAATTGGTCTATAATTGCGACCTGTAGAGTGATTACAAATTAACATGGACAGACGGACGGACGAACATACATAGCTACATCGAGTCAGCTCAGCGAGATAGGTAGATCCATATATATTTTCCTATATGGGAAACCAATATTTCGAGGTATTACATAATTTTTGGCCCAATCAAACTTATAATACCCCCATCACATAGTGTTGTAGGGTATAAATACACACACATATACAAACTGGGTATATGTTTTGACAGAACAGGGGCACCAGAAGAACAAAATGTATTTTGTAGGTAGGTTTGTTTTACCTTCTGTAATTATGCCATGACTCCTATGACAAAAACTTTTTTCCCAAGTGACGAGGTCGTGAACGGAATAGAAGAAGAACCAAAGTGTTACATTCAACTGGCACTAAAATTCATTTTGGTAATGGTTGTGTTTTGTAACTAATTCGTGACGACATCAGGTATTGTACAGTTTCTAGGAGTATCCTAGGTAGGACAGGTGAGAAAATGGACAATATCGGTCCACTCTATCAAGTACCTCCACCACAAAGGATCAACATTTTTAATAATTATACCTCCGATAAAATGTGAAATAAGAGCCCGATTGTTTTCAAACTTCGTACATCGCAAAATTGCTGTCAACACAAGATCTGGGACATATCGGTCCTCTCCTTATCCTTAGTCTTACAGTGCAACTGCTATTGAATATTGACAGCCACGGATAAAGTAGCACATGATCAGCTATTGAGCTCAGCGGATGACTATTTAGCTCGTTTTTGATAACCTAGCTGTTTTTATTTAGCCCTAACCGCCAATATAGCAACAAATTCAGCACACAAAATAAGCAATCGCTTAGATTTCGGCTGCTGCTATTTTGTATTATTGCTTTATGGTTGTGTGTTGACAACGTACAAATTAATAAAACACGTACATATGTACATTGAGCTGGCCTAACTTATCTAATCTACGTTTATTATACCCTCCACCATACTATGGAGGGTATATTAATTTTGTCATTCCGTTTGTAACTCCTCGAAATACTCACGTCAGACCCAACAAAGTATATATATTCTTGATCAGCGTAAAATTCTAAGACGATTTAGCCATGTCCGTCTGTCTGTCTGTCTGTCTGTCGACATTATTCACCGGAATTGTTTCAAATTTGGCATTTGAAGTTCGTAATGGATACTACAGCCTAAGACAGAAAATTATCTGTGCAGGTCCACGTCTTCGTATAGCCCCCATATAACGGTACCCCCCGATATTCGGTTTTGATGATTTTAGCGACATTATTTAACGGAACCGTTCCAAATTTGGTATTTGAAGTTCGTAATGGATACTACATCCTAAGTCAAAAAATGAGCCATGTAGGTCCACGTCTTCCTATAGCCCCCATATACCGTACCTCCCCCGATATTCGGTATTTTGATGATTTTAGCGACATTATTTAACGGAACCGTTCCAAATTTGGTATTTGAAGTTCGTAATAGATACTGCAGCAGAAAACAGAAAATGGACCATGTAGGTCCACGTCTTCATATAGGCCCCATATACCGTACCCCCCGATATTCAGTATTTTGATGATTTTAGCGACATTATTTACCGGGATTGTTTTAAATTTCGCATTTGAAGTTCGTAATGGATACTTCAGCCCATGCCAGAAAATTGTCTGTGCAGGTCCACGTCTTCGTATAGCCCCCATATAACGGTACCCCCTATATTCGGTATTTTGATGATTTTAGCTACATTATAAACAAATTTTTCTTCAAGTTTCGCATTTAAATGTTGTAATAACTTATGACAAAAGTTGCCTATGCAGGTATACGTCATCGTATAGACATTCGGTTTTTTTAAGATTTTAACAGAATTTTTAAAGGATTTTTTTTATTTTATTTATTTATTTTATTTTTTTTTTGGAAATTGCCAAATTTGTACCAAATGGTGGAGGGTATTAAAAGTTCGGCCCGGCCGAACTTACAGCTTTTTTACTTGTTTGAATTGATATTAGCTCTTAATTTATTGAATAATATCCAATAAAACTAAAATAAATGTTATTTGATGGACATTTGTGCATTCCAGCATTTCATGCAATATGAACTTTTTATAAGCAACACTGAACTCAAAAATAAAAATTATACTTTGTTGGTAGATACCTTGTTATGCAATAGGTGCCGTGCTGCTATTTTGATGCTGAGCTATGTTAGGACTGAGATCAGTTCTGTTGCAGCCGCTGACTGCTATTTTGTGTTAGCTGTTGATTCCAAGTAGCAGTATCTCCCTCTGCTATTTTTATACCCTACACCACATAGTGGTAAGGGTATTATGTCTTTGTGCATTTGTCTGTGGCATGGAGCAGGAAGCGAGATAGACCCATAGTTACTTTTGAGGATCTTCAAAGAATCACTTTCTTTCACTTCCCTCTGCTATTTTTATACCCTACACCACATAGTGGTAAGGGTATTATGTCTTTGTTCATTTGTCTGTGGCATGGAGCAGGAAGCGAGATAGACCCATAGTTACTTTTGAGGATCTTCAAAGAATCACTTTCTCTTGCACGTCGCATTTATTATCCGATTGAGATGAAATTTTCCAAACAATATTTGTTTGGCGCAATCAGATTTAGATATAGTGGACCAAATAGCCAATATAAGTCCAAATGGCCTCAATTTTGGCACCTCCAACTGAATTCAGTCCAGAAGCAAGTACATCAAATTTGAAAATCGGTTCAGATATAGCTATATCTCCCATATATATGTTTCAGGTTTATTGTGCAAATAATGGCTAATATCAGCCCAAATGGAGTGAATTTTTGGACGTACGTCTCCGTTTAGTGTAACACGGCTCCGATATATATTTTTTTACCCTCCACCATACATAGTAAGGAGGGTATATTCAGTTAGAGTCAAAACGCTAGAGTCAAAACGAATAAAGAGCTAACATTTTGCACCGATCTGTTTTTTTCTGCAGGCAGATCACGTTCAAAGAATTGTCTCTATAAATCTACGATATCGTATTGCCAACATACAATTCCGCTATATTCGGAATTTTTAAGATTTTAACAAAAACGTTAAGGGATTTTATTTATTTATTATTATTTTTATTTAAATTTTCAAAATTCGTTCCAATTGGTGGAGGGTATTCAAAGTTCCGCCCTTCCGAACATACTGCTCTTTTACTTGTTTTAATATAATGCTTCTCGAGGTGATATCATCAATGTTATTTGGTATAAAAGATAAGAATGCCTCCGTCAAATTTAGTGAAAATCGATTCAGAATTGAATATGCCTCCCATACATTACTTTCCACTGAAACTAAATTATAACTGCTCTAGAGTCAAATAAATTATTTTGTTACAGGAGCTGTACTAAATATGCAGAGTGGTGTAGGGTATCAGATAGTCGACATACAAAATATCACGAATATTTTATGTGAAGTGGGGAAAGTCATTGATTCAGTTCAAATGGTCACGTCATAATATTTATATCAGCCTTATATATAAACATAGACTAAGGATATACAGCTCTCGACAAAACCGACTGATACTTTTTAACTTGTCGTTAGTCCTTGTTTTTAAAAACAGTTAGTGTACAAAATACTTTGTACGCACTTTTGCGTCCATGGTAAAACGAAGAAGGTAAAGTCATTTGAAATAGTAATATCCATCTCTGCATTTCTTGTAATTTACCTTGTCAAATTTCACTGGATACAATGGACCTATAAATGTAAAATGAAATAAGTAATTTTTGAAAATTTATATACAATTGAAAGCATGACTTTACCTTCTTGATTCTACCATGAGAATATCTAACTACTAAAAATAAAATTTCCAAAATGAAGACCACTTAAATGAAGGGACAAGCAGCCATGTAGTGTTCCCTTTAAAATCTAATAATAGATTAGAACAAATTGTATGGCTGGGATTAAGTTAGATTAGTTTTAGTAGTACTTTAGAAAAATATTTTTAAATAAAACCAGAGTTGAAACTACACCCAAACGAAACGGTTGCGTTTCCTTTCTCATTCTGTTGGAGAGTCTCACTACAAGTCTCTTTGTCGGTAATCGCAACATGAGCATTTTAATTATTTTAAGATCCACGTTGCTCCTACGATGTCATACTATAGTATGTTAAAGCCAGAAATTATGCGTACATTTGGAAAGAGAAATTTTACCTATTATTCGACTTTTCATACACAAATATTCAACTATATTTTAGTTTTAAATGCATTTTGAAAAAAAATAAGAAAAATAAGTGTGCTTTTTCAAATAGATCGTGAGTCTTCCTTTCTGATTTTGCAAAAAAAATTGTAACAACAACAAATCGATTGGATAAATTCTGAATGCAACACTCTATATTCTCCACATTACAAATATTTGACTTTGGGTATAAAAGCAACACTTTTGGTATAGAATTTTTTTAGTCACTTCTTGCTTTCAAATGAGGCAAAGGAGAGACTGGATCCCCCCACTAAAGATTGGTTTACGTTTAACTCAGGTGTTGTTGGTGGGGATGATGAGTTGTCAAAAGCGCGATTATCCTCCAGTACAATGGTTGTGTTTGGATAATGATCCAATTGGACAAATAAATAGCGATACATCATTTTGCCTTGCGTATTCTGAAAAGTTCAAATCAAGTTTAAGAAAAATAGATAAATGCATATACTGTTTTGAATTTCGAGTTGACTAGGCTCACCTCTTTGCTTTCCAAGTGAACAGTTCCTTTGTTTCGCAGACCTTGCACATAGAATTTCATCCGTACATGAGGTACTCCATTTCGTTCAAATACAGTGTGCATAACATGCTGTCGCCTACCACGCCTGGATTCCTCCCCATAACCTTTTATTGGTGCACCGATAGCGTCTTGCACGCGAATATCCTAAAAATTAATTAGCTTTCTTTATTATTCCTTTCAATAGTTGCAATGTTTACCTCTTTTACTCTCTCCAATGCGTCAGAATAAATGTTATTTGGGCTCGTACTCGAGAACAATTCACGGAATATGGCCCAAAACATAACGGCCGTCACACCGATTCCAGCAAGTATAACTGCCGTATAGCTAGCCGTCTTTGTAGTTTCTTTAATTTTTTCTCCTAAGGGTCGTACATCGTTTGACAGTTGGGAAGATCTATTTTCTTGACTCCCTACCTGCAAACTACTGTTGCCGTCATTTCTTTCCCTTACTTTCCCATGGTACGAACATCCAATTATTTTATTGAAAACAATTCGCCTAACATATTGGGCATTACGTAGAAATAGTATCTGTGACATAATATATACTCCATACACAACGGAAACAGTCCAATGTGCCAATGCTGTCCCCAAAGTAAATGAGCGCGTGGAAACCAAAATTAAAGACGTCCCCAATAAAACAAATATGAAAGCCAAAAAGGAATGCCCGATAAATAATAAAGAGAATGCAAAATCTTGTTTACGAACGAGTAAAATGCATAAGGCCTAGTACCTCTTTTGTTTACGAATGGGACATGAGGAAAACGCAATCAGCTGGAAGCATTCATAAAATGACCGCGGAATTAGTTGAGTCAAATATCGTCGCTACACTACAATCGCAGATAACGGCGTAATCATAAAAGGAACCATCGAAACTACATACAGTTGAATTGTCGAGGTGTGTCGTTCCACAACATACTAGTTCAAACAAGCTATTTGAAGCAAATTTAGTTCTTGAGATCATCTAGTTCATATCATAGTACAATTAAGACATGGTCGGGCATAGCAATCACATGAATACAATTTTTTCTTATGGTAGTTTTGCGATGTCATAACATGAAAACAGTTTTTGGAAACAACTCTAGTTTAGTAAAACTTCTTCGATTTTTTCGAAATTTTTTCCAGATGTGGTTATTTCTACCCTGATTCCGGAAACGGGCCCGAAAGTCCGGGTTCAAGACCCGGGCTGAACTTACCCAATATATACAAAATGGGATATATCGTTTGAAAGCTTATGAAAATACCTTGCAATTTTTTCTTATGGTAGTCTTGTAATGTCATAACATGAAAACAGTTTTTGGAAACAACTCTAGTTTAGTAAAACTTCTTCGATTTTTTCGAATTTTTTTTCCAGAGGTGGTTATTTTTACCCTGATTCCGGAAACGGACCCGAAAGTCCGGGTTCCAGACCCGGGCTGAACTTACCCAATATATACAACATGGGATATATCGTTTGAAAGCTTATGAAAATACCTCTTCAACAAGTGGTCAGAAGATGGGGTATTTTTTGTTATTCATTTTATGGACCCGGATTAGGTAAAAATACCTACCACTGGAAAAAATTTAAAAAGATTGAATAATACTTTCAATATTATCAATATAAAATATGGCAACATGAATTCTGTAAACATTACGTTAAAACATTTATGTGTCCGACAACATCATTTCCTTATCTATCGGAAAGATGTAATAATAACTTATTTAATAAATCGCATCTACCTTTATTCTTCTACTAGTATCCTTGTTATCGACTGTTTAAAATATCAAATTATAACAGCCAAAAGTCGATTTAGATATCCCTTGTAAGTACGCAAAATATTTTTCTGAGGTGGCAAATGATAAAGACAAAACAGATAAAAACAAATGTGCCTATACTAACATTTAATTTAATCAAGTAACTGTTCTATGTAATGTTGCCTAAAGCGCCAAAAAGTGGTTTCTGGAAATTTGTCAAAGGCAGCGCCAAGACACTTTTTGTTATTGAAGCAGTTTGCTTTGCTGCATCTTATGCCGTGTATTACCGTATGAATACGAACCGAGGTGTGTAATTTTATATAACTAATATTTTACTTTCCTGGAATTTGAACATCTTTTAACAGTGGACAAAATATTACATCTTAATATGACTTTCAATGTGCCTCTCAATGTTAATTGCCTCTTTGACAAAGAAAAAACAGCGGTATAACTTGGGATGACTCACCCTGGTCATCATACAATAGTGGAGTTTAGAATCGATCACACCAAAATTGTATAGGTCAATGGAATGCATGGTTTTTGTTGAGCTTAGGGCAGGGGCAGTGGCTCACATTAAAAAAACTCATCCTAGTTTAGGGGTTATGTTCAGATCTGATCGATATTGTTAACACTTTGTGTATTCCAGAACTGCAAGAATGTATTTACTACGACAAGTCCGGTTTTTTCCATCGTCATTTGAAAGATTATAAAAATGCCTATCCAACAAATAGTAAGACAAGAAAAATATTAATTTCGTACTGTGATATTAAAAAACAGAAAGTGGCGTATTTAAGGGAGAAAATATGTTAGGAATTGTAAGAGTTTTGGTACATATGCCACACTTTGGAAGGGCTAAAGTGTAGACTTTGTATAAATTTCTTATTGCGTAACCTATAATGAGCCCATTTTCTAAATTTTAAAGGGAGTTTAAAGGACTTCTGGAGTTATAGATTTTCTTATATTACGTCTGAACCGGTATGTATATATATATATATATATTCAGGGTTTAAAATCCAGCACCTATTGAAATTAGCATTAAAGTGCAATTGTTAATAAATATTGACAGCCACGGCTAAAGTAGCAAATGATAAGCTGTTAAGCTCAGCGCATTACTATTTAGCTCGTTTTTGATAAGGTAACTATTTTTATTTAGCCCTAACCGACAATAAAGCAACACTTTTGTAGTTTTAAACTAGTTGTGATACTTATTGGCTAAATTGCTCTTTCATTGCAGCAAGAATGTAAATGTTTTTACTACGACAAGTCCGGTTTTTTCTGTTGTCATTTGAAAGATTATAAAAATGCCTATCCAACAAATAGTAAGACAAGAAGAATATTAATTTCGTACTGTGATATTAAAAAACAGAAAGTGGCGTATTTAAGGGAGAAAATATGTTAGGAATTGTAAGAGTTTCGGTACATATGCCACACTTTATAATATTTAACAAGATCAACGCACTAATTTTGTTTTTTTTTTCAGAATTCCGACAGTATATTAACGAAAATTATCCATTCGTGCTGGATTATTATTATAAAGTTGGTGAGATAATTGGCAATAGCAATTTGCGTGAAATTGACGCAACAGTCTGGAAATCGGATCAAAAGAAGAATAACTAAAAAATCACAATAATAAAATAGTTTATTTTAAAGAGTGGAAAGGGTAAATGGCTTCTAACCCATACGTAAAGTCTTTAATATGGTTAGTGGCTTTTGGCGGCATAGGTTATGGGCTTTTACGTTTAACTGAACCCTCGGAGGAAAAACTTGCTAAAATACGTTCAACTACAGCAGGAGTTTATTTAAGCGAAGACGAACAGAAGAAGATCCAGTTTTTAAAGAAATTGCAATCAGCTGCTGCAGAAAACGCCCCCGTGTATTCGAAAAAGAAGGAAGACAATTAAAGACATATCTTACCTTTAAACGTTAAATACTATTAGCAAACATGAGTAGCACTCGACTATCTATACCTAATGTGGATAACGAAACACTAGATGACAACGCAATTTCAAAAAAGGATCAAATATTAGAACGACTCAATAAGCGCAATAAGGAACGTCAAAATTATCTGGATGTGAAATTGGAACAACGAAATAAGGAGACTTCAGATGCGGAAGGCGTGGATTACTTTTCACAAGCATTTGCCGATAAAGTAAGGGAAATCGAAGCACGCATTAAAAATCTTAGCGAAACATCGGCAAAGAAGAATCCAGGCGAAAATTCCAGCATTGATTTGGCACGGCATTTCACGGAAATAACATTGGAGATACAGGAATTACAACGATATCTAACTAACTCAACAATGTTTCTTACAGACTTCAAGATCAAGGCATGCCAAAGTATTGTAAATGATTTATTGCAGTCATGCGAAGAGGCGAAAGTAAAACTTATGCCGAAAAAGAAGTTTGGATTTAGTGGACGGAAAGTCACTCCAAAACCATGTCTAAATCCCAAACTTAGTAAAACTGACAATGTAGACGGAGCAGAAAAAAATGAACATATAAGCACGATTACAGGAAGCAAAGTTAGCTGGACACTCAGCAATAGGACTAATGAGTACATTTGTCTGAAGGGCGATGAAGTTCATAGCAAAGATATAACTATTGCACATTTACAAAATTGTTTCGTGGAACTCCAGGGGCCGGCTGGTTCAGTTCAAATATCTCACTGCTCCAACAGCACTTTCCTTTGTGGGCCTATAGCCCGTTCGTTGTTTGCAGATTTTTGTACAAACAGCACACTAAGTGCTGCATGCCAACAAATGCGACTACACTCCTCTGAACAGTGTCAAATATATCTGCACGTCACCTGTCGTGCCATTATTGAGGATTGCAGTAAAATAGGAGTGGCACCCTACAACTATGACTACACGGGCATTGATGAAGATTATAATCATGCCAAAATCAATAAAGAAGTCAACAATTATACGGATATTGCCGATTTTAACTGGCTTTCGTCGGAGGTGGCCTCTCCTAATTGGCATCTGATCAAGGATTTTCATGCCATCAATTGGGTTCAGAAACGGCAAGAATTTTTGACTAGAAACATGGATAATGCATCTTTATAGTGCTCAACAGCAAGACAAGCGTAGCCCGAGCTTCAAAATTTATACCACTGTATTTCGTTATCTAGTTTATTTTGCAATTTTTCCATTCTACTCCCATAAAATTTCTCTAAAAATTTGCGACTGGTAGCTCAAAAACTGTACCGCAATAAAAAAGCCACATCACTCAAGCACTTTATATGTACTTTACTTTTTTCACTAACATGAATCTAATTTCATTTCCTAAATAAAATATTTTAAACAACATAGCTCAAACATTTTTTTTATTTAAACTTAGCTTGTGGCCACAATGTCCAAAAAGGTGTAAACAAACAATGCATTTGATTCACTACTGCACTATGATCGAAATTTTGTGCTGCCAACATTTCAAAATCAGAAAACTTTCCCTCATGGTAGAATCAAGGGGTAAAGTCATGCAATCATATTTTTACAATATATTCAAAAATTATTAATTTGACAACATCCCATTGTCAAAATGTGTACACCCAAGTCTGTTTTTACACGGTAGATTGGTTCCAGAAGAAGCCGTGTAAAAAAGACATTGATCTTATACAAAAATCGGTGATTTGTTCCTAATCTCTAAAACCTATTAAAATTAGTGAAAAACAAGAATTTTTATTTTTTTTCTTTACCAAACACGTCTTATTGCATTAACAGTTCACAAAATATTAACACTTTTCAATTGCTCTGACCAGTAAATTTTATTGTATGCACATAGTGCTATTCACATTTGCTTTGATCAGTAAAAATTGTTTGCACGCGCTAAAGGAGAATTCACTTAAATCTTTAAGCTAGTGTTCGCAAACTATCGATACTATGGATGGTTTCAGACTTTTTTCTTTCATAAATACTTTTTTGTGATATGAACATACTTCGCAAAAATTAAATTTGACAAAAAAATTTAAGTACATAAAATTTCAAATCGTGCTAAATGGAATAAAATCGTGTAAATAAATTAAATGTATTCAATTTTCAAACCGTGTTATATCAAAACCGTATACAAAAAGACCGTGTAAAAACAGACTTAGGTGTATTTATAAATCCATTGTACATACACAAATCAGAGATGGGAACCTGTTTTTATGTCGTAAAATGTGACAAGGCAAATTACAAAAAAAGCCGAGATGGGAATGCTTATTTGAAATGACTTAAACTTCTTAATGTTAACATGCTTTCACTGTACTGTGACTGTGAAAACAACACAGCACGGATGGTAGTCACTAACACAAATCTTTCTCTACTGCGATGAATTCCATATCACATAGTTTTGATTGGACTGTGGCTGCGAATGTAAAGATAAGTGTCTTGCATAAAATATAGTAAAAAAAAAAAAAAAATAGATAAGCAATATGCTGAAAACCGCCTTTGAGCTTTGACTTCCAAGGTCAATAGAAAAATGCTATCTAAAAAAAAAAATAATCTGGATTTGTCCAAAGTTTTGCCCCAATGGTTTTCCACTAACATCCATTTTCCATAAAATTATAAAAGTAATTGAGTGGTATCTGTAGCACATTACCGAAATTTGGTCTGAGAGTGAGGGTAAAAAAGTTTACTTTTTTAAATAATGAGCTTAAGGTCATTGTTAAGTTTATATGTTATTGATCACAATAAAATATTCAGGGTTAATATTAACATAATAATAGTCAGATTAACAAAACAGCTATGCATATGATATTGGCCGGTAACCTCATTTCAAATAAGCATTCCCAGCTCTGCATTTTCTGTAATTTATCTCGTCAGGTTTCCCATTTTTGATTTGTGTATATTCAATGGAGCTATGAATAAACATGTTGACATTGAGATATTGTCAAAGAAATCATTTAAAAAATGTAAGCAAATTATTGCATGACTTTTCTTTCTTAGTTCTACCAATGGTACAATAAGAAGGTAGAACAGCTTCGTAAAACTACAGAAATATAACCCTAAGGCTATGCCCGCATCATGTCAGACTCGTTCAAATTATATACAACAAGTTGTTTTAAATTTTTTTATATTTTCCCTCATTTGTAAAATGAGTTATATAGAGCGAAAAATGAATGAAATGTCTGGATTTTCTCTCAAAAATATGATCCAAACTGTTCAATCTTTCAATTTCATGGCTAAACTGGTTAATAGCTTTAATGCGTGAGCCGCATTGTACGTGTCTTCCAATCATTAATTTTGAAAATATTTGGAACAATACGTACACAAAAGTGACAGAATTCGGGCACACTTAGAAAAAAATTATTATCGGCTGGTAGCTCTACCTTACCTTTTTATTGTACCATGGTTCTACCATGGTTACTACAATGCAAACCATGTCTATTTTGTTTATTTTTCTGTTCCAGAACCTGCAATAATCTACTTGATTTTCGATATCGGTTATCGTAGTAAACATTTTGAAACCTTTGCAATTCTGGAAGATATCATATATTTGTTGCTTTTATGTAGCCCATGGAAATGCATCATGAATAGTAGAAGAACATAGGGAACATTGATATGTCAAATTTTTTTAAAATTGTTCTTCAAAAATAAGTAGATTTTTTATGTTTCCTAATATAATGTAATCAGAGTTTGTGTGATATGCATTTTACAACAGTTTTAATGAATTTGAATAAATTTCCATTCAAAATTGGTTTGACAGTTCGTTGTCCCAGCAGCTGTGTCGATGCGGCTACATTTATTCTTCTACCATGTGATCTGTTCCAGTACCTGCAAGAATCTGAAATTTTTGCAATTTTCTTCGATATCCTAAAGGGAAAATCGGTAATCTTTGTAAAAACTCTTACATTATTGCAGTTCTGAAACAGACCAATGGTATCATGGTAGAATTAAGAAGGTAAGGTCATATATCATATCATATGTTTACAATTGGCCTGTTCCAGAACTGCAAAAAGTTTTTACTACAATAATTTTCATCTCTTTGTCAAAATGTATATTTATGAATTCTTTGTACATACCCAAGCCAGAGATGGGAATCTTTTTTCTATGCAGTGAAATTTGACAAAGTAAATTACAGAAAATGCAAAGATGGGTATGCTTATTAGAAATTACAGAGATGGGAACCTTTTTTTATGCAGTGAAATTTGACAAGGTAAATTACAGAAAATGCTGAGATGGGTATGCTTATTTGAAATTACTTTATATATAAATAAGTGGTCTATTATGAAACCTTTTTAACACGTTTTATGGTACGTAAAAGAAAATATATAAGGAACGTGTGTATAACCACATTTTTTGCGGTTAGAAACTACCATGGTAGAATAGAAGATAAAGTCATGCAATCATATGTTTAATTTTTTTTTTTCGAATTATATATTTGACAACATCTCATTGTCAAAATTTATGTTTACAAATCCATTGTAAATGCAGAAATCAGAGATGGCAACCTGTATTCTATACAGTGAAATTAGACAAGGTAAATTACAGAAAATGCAAAAGATGGGTTTCCTCCGCCGTATTAAACAAGGTACAACAATATAATAACACAATATAATCAAAGGAAATAAAAAACATGTCAGTGTGTGAAAGAAAGAATTTGATGTCATATCTAAAATTCTGACATACACACCGAAATACACATGTTTGTTCCTCTCAGCTGATGTTTGTTTACGTACACACATGGTACAATAGCAAGGTAA